ATTGTGGTTCTCTCACGATTCTGAAGAAAAACACAAAACAAACTAAACAAAATCACATGTAATTTATGAATGAATTATTCAATGACTCAAGATGTACTTGTTTCATTGTAATTTAGGAATAGAATCACGTTGGTGTTTGAATCGTGTTCGTGATCTTTAACGATCTGTTCAATTAAAGTGCTTTGTCATGTTGGTGGTGGTACCTCTCTTGCAACATGTTAAGCTTATCACAAATATTATACGTAGCTTTTTCTCGGCTTCTGATCGCAAGTGTAGCCAAACTTTGGAGCGCTTAGATTAGCGTAGCAAGCAAGGTCCTGGCAGATCGCTAGGTCTAGTCCTCACAGATGAAAAAAAACACAGGAATCGATAGGTGGAATCGAAATTTTAATTCTAAAACGGATAGTTCCGGTCCTTGATTCTGATTGGCTGAGCCACGTTCGAAGCTGTTGTAAATGACTCTACAAAGTAACATACACCTTTGTTTACGTTTGTCTGTTGCTCGGCAACCACTTTGTTGCAACCACAACTGTTTCTGAGGAGCTACATTGTTTGGTGGAAGAATACTGTTTTTATTAATATCATTACACTTTATTTGCTCTGCTTTATTCTGTGAAACCGTACTACGTATATGGAATAACCATTTTATAAACGCAAAAAGCCCCGAGAAGCCGTGGTTTACAGTGAATTTATAACAGCTAAGGGGGTTTTAGGGTTTAACAATGCCTCTTAGCTGTTATAAATTTACTGTAAACCACGGCTTCTTGGGGCTTATTGCTTTATTTTACAACAAGTATCCGATTCCTGACATTAAGTATCCGATTCTGGAATTGAAATCGATTTTCGATTCCCAACCCTAAACACGGAGTCAGTTAGCATATTGAGAAAGATATTGATGTATTCTCCTGGGTTTTGCGGACGTTTATAAATGATTCACCTTACAAATGAAATGGTGCATGCTCCGTTCCCAGATGAACGTCATAATAAACCCAAACTCACAGCAACATGCAGAGATGGAGTTTGAGATGCTCCACACATGTAAATGATAAGAGTTCAGCAGTTACTGTTAACGGAGCCGCTCTGACACGCACACACGTACGTAACCTACACACATGTAAATAATTAAAGTGCACATATTAAACCTGCATCGCATATATTTATTTAATAGAATCACAGCGTTTGTTAATTCACAATAGCGTTATGCTTTATTATGATTTTTAAATGAGTTTAATATATCATGCAGCCTTGGAAAACGGTCTAATAATGCGTTTCATGGATTCTCGTCCGTGGAATGCGCCACTTCCGGTATTTTGCCAGTTACTCGACACAGGCTAAATGCAATTGTGTTTTTTAAAAATTAATTACTCATATTGAATCGAGGAATCGTGACAGCCCTAATTAAAACCGTGGATCCATTCAGTAACAAAACAAATCTGTGTTATTTTTGTATGTATTTGAACATTTAAGTGCAATAAAATGCAAAAGCTTTTAGTGACAAGCAGCTTTATGGGCTCGTGCTTCGGCTGTGAAACCGGCTCGAGAACCGAACAATTCTCTTTCATGGCTAACTGTTTAAAATCGCTTGAATGTTTAATCCAGTAAGGCTTAAAAGCACTTGCAAATGTTAGTGAGGGCGCAGCACTACAACGTCACGTATGCATGATAGAGACAATAATCCAAAATCTCTGTCAGTTTATCATGTCTATTGGTATATAGCCAACCTCTAGGTTTGAGTGAATGATCTGGACTGGTTTACACCGGAGACGGAGCGACTGACCTGCTCTTGGTGCCGTTGGGTGACGGGGGCGAGTACAGGCTGCTCAGGCCGCTCTCGCTCAGAGGGCTGGTGACGGATGGAGACGTCTGCTCCGGAGAATCAGGAACCAGCTCCAGCTTCACCGCTGAGTCTGGACTGTCTGGATCCGGCTCAGAGCTGCTCTCGCTGACTTTGGCCCGTTTCTTAACAGCGCTGTTCCTCAATGAGCGCAAGGAGTTCAGCATCTGAAAGAGTGACACTCATCTCAGAGTCTGCTGGAATCAGCACACACACACACTCACTCACTCACACTCACACAGACAGACACAGACTCACACACACACTCACTCACTCTCACACACACACACACACACACACACACACACACACACACACTCACTCTCTCACACACCCACACACTCTCACATGCTCACTCTAACTTACACATTCACACACTCTCTCACACACTCTCTCTCGCTAACTTTCACTTACACTCTCACACACACACACACACACACACACACACACACACACACTCACTCACACACACACACACACTCTCACTCTCCGCGCGGTCCAGCGGCTCGTCCTCCGGCTCTCCTGCGCCGCTGCTGACCGACAGATCCAGGTGCAGGCTTCTGTCCGGTTGTTTGTCCTGCGACGAGGGTCTGCTGGTGTTTGGGCTCTGATGGACGGATGAGGCCCGTACAGCTCGAGGAGGCAGCGGAGAGCGTTTTCTGGAGCTCACCTCACCTGTGACATCATCAGAGGGGCTCATTAATGAACAGCATGTGAAGAAATGACATGGGAAATGCATGACATCATTTCCTTTTCAATGGCCATAATGAGCAGATGATGACTGATGCACGATTGTTACATTTTCTGTTTTGACGTTGTAATATAATTATGGTTGTCAAGCAATTAAAAATTTGAATCTAATTAATTGCATGAATTAATCAAATTAATTGCACATCAATTTGATCAATTGAAGTCATTATGTATTAGATGATAAAAGCATTGAAAAAATATAACAAATAAGTAGCTTTAAAAATAAATATTTTGATTCAACACTGAATAAATAATGATAATACATAGATATTAATGTTTCCTTTTAAAAAGTGAATACTGAAATATAAAATGATAAAGAAAAATTAAATGATACTCTAAATATGACACCAAAAATGCCAGTTTTAATGAGTGAGTCACTGAATCATTCATTCAACCAAATGGCTGATTTCTTTCAGAAATTAAGCAAGTGACTGTCTTTATGAGTGAGTCACTGAATCATTGACTCACTTGATTCATTCAGAAACGTGGATTCATTCATGATGAATCACTGCTGTGTGTCACAGGCGCTCAACTGTTCTGCTGTGACTTTGCTTCAAACTATTGTTGTTTGCCAAATTGAGCAAAAATGTGTCTAAAAATGAACATAATACTAACTTTATTGAACTGTTGCATCACATTTGCAATCATGCAGATATTGGGCAAATGCATTAAATACTTTAATCATTTTAACATGTTATTTTTACCTAAATTAATTGCACCAAATTAACATGTTAATTCAACACATCCCCAAATATAATACAATAACTGAAGTAGTTTTGTGTTTGATGACTTTTGTATTTTTGTTGTATGTTCACTAGTGAACTACTGATTCAGTTTGTTCTGTGGTTTGATTAGTTTCGAACAGCTCTAAAGTGTATGTAGACAGAATCGTGTGTCCTGACCAGAGCCGTCGCTCCTGCGGTGAGGGCTGATGTCAGGTTTGTTGGGCCACGTGTTGGACATGGACAGCGAGGGGTCAGCGTGGTTTCTGCGCGGTAAGGTCGTGGTCAGCAGACTCCCTGTTAGCGCGGTCAGCGGGTACGAGGGCAGCAGAAACGAGCCTGGAGGTGTGGAGCTAGTCGGTAGGGAGAACGTTCGCTCAACGCTGCCCGACAGAAAACGACTCGTCTTGGGCAAACCTGTGAAAGAAATTCACACTCAATACATTCTGTTCAGTGATGAATGACAATGTGACAAACAAAAACAATGACTTAATATCACACTTTAGTCCTCATAAGAGTTATCATCAACTAAAACTATTGAAAACATTTTTGTTGTTGCTGAAATAAAATATAAATGTGTGTCCCTGGAGCACAAAAGCAGTCTTAAGTCGCTGGGGTATATTTGTAGCAATAGCCAACAATACATTGTATGTGTCAAAATTATACATTTTTTTATGCCAAAAATCATTAGGATATTAAGTAAAGATCATGTTCCATGAAGATATTTTGTAAATCTCCTACCGTAAATATATCAAAACTTAATTTTTGATTAGTAATATGCATTGCTAAGAACTTCATTTGGACAACTTTAAAGGCGAGATATCTCGGCCAAATATTGTCCTATCCTAACAAACCACACATCAATGGAAATCTTATTTATTCAGATTTCAGGTGATGTATAAATCTCAATTTCAAAAAATTGCCCCTTATGACTGATTTTGTGGTCCAGGGTCATATATTAGATGAAAACCTTACTAAACTGAACAAAAATGTTAAATGTAGCCGTGGCAACTAACTGGCTGAGGCACTAAAATTACTAACTAAACATGAAAAACTAAAGCTGAAAATAAATTAAACCTAAATATAAAAATTACTAAAATGTAAAAATGTTTAACTAAACTAAAAAAGATAAAAATAAAAATAAAAGTTAAATGAAAATATGAATAAAAACTCTATATTAATAAATTAATCATGCTAAAGTAACACTGGTTCTAATTCATTACGGTTCCCAAGCTGTGCCACCAACTTTGCAGAGAAAACTTGAATAAAATCACATTAAACTGTGGTCTGAACATATATATAAAAGCTGTCTTCAGCACGACCCCGTCTGACACGCACGAACGATCAGTGGCGTCACCTTTCTCAGACTCAACCAGAACACAAGACAGTACAGCTATCTGAGCCTTCACCGGATCTGTGTGCTTCAGCGGATTTCATTAATGTTACTATCACTATATTATTGTTAAGGGTTATTGATGCCTTAATAAAATCAATTCTAGCACTCCAATCACTTCATATAATAAATTCAACACGAGGATGGATGGGCCTCTGTGTAATAGAGCTGCTGTGGTTCATGAGCTCAAACTGTCTCTCAAGACACTCAAGACAAGACTGAAGAGTGTTCTTACTGTATTTGGCTCCAGTGTGTCTCGTGGATGAGGATGGATCTTCACTGCTAACCTGCTGGAATAAACATATAACTTCAATCAGTCTGAGACAAAACTACATACATTCATCATATCTTTAGCATGGAGGATGTTTCCAATTAAAACCACACGAGACCTTCGTCACACCGAGATCTCAACGCCATTGATCCACATCGACACACTCAACAGAAGACACACTCAACTTTGAAACCGTTAAAATGCGTGAAAGCCAACTCAACAGGCATGACACTGCACTGCAAAAACTGCTGCTCTTCCTCAGTATTCCTGTCTTGTTTTACGGTACAAACATCTAAACATTCTTAAATCAAGATACATCTGCTGGAGATTCACAATGACTGAAGATAAAAAGAGAAATTGATCAAAATGAAGTGCGTTTACGCTTAAAATGAGAACAAATATCTGCTAAAGGAGTCAAAAAAAATGGAGAATCAAGTAAAGCCGAGCTGCTTCAGTCCAGTAAGTGTTCATCTGGAGATATTACTGCAGTTATTCTGACCTTTACTTGATCAAAATCAGTCAAGATTTGACTCGTGAAGCTCCAGCTGAAGCTGGACGTTTCTACAATAACACTAAAAGAGCTTTGACTGGATAAAACAATCTAAATATCAATCAGAGACAGAAGACATGTGGTAGAAAACAGCAGAGTTTGATCATTTAAAGGTCATGCCGTGGCTTTATAAGGTTTCAGAGAGCTCCGCTGATCTCAGGTGTGTGTGTGATGACGCTGATGTCATCGCTCACCTGATCAGGTGACCTTCCATTGGTCTGAAGCTCCACAGAGAGGGCCGATCTCTCCCAGGGCAGCTTGTTCTTCCCTTTCCCAGCGCTCACCATCCTCCTCTGCTGAGGCGCGTTATCCGTCAGATCCACATCTGAGCGGGAGCTGTGAACCCGGCCTCCGTTCAGAACCCAGTCCAGATCGGCCCCGGAGCCCAGCTGAGGCGTCCGTCTCTGTCCCGGTTTAGGAAGAGCGAGTGCGTACTCGACGGTGCCGTCGGCAGAGAGCCGAGGGAGTATGTGCCGCGCACGCCGCGCCTGTACAGCAGCCATCAGGCCCTCAGCGTCTCCGGAGAGCTCCACTCGATCCACGGCCTTCATGAGCGGCTGCTTCTTACCTAAGGGTGGGGGATACCTATTAAGTTCCGTATCAGTTACAAAATATTATTACTTACCTATAAGGCCCTTAAAGGGATAGTTCACCCAAAAATGAAAATGTTATGTTTATCTGCTTATCCCCAGGGCATCCAAGATGTAGGCGACTAAAAAGATTTTTAACTCAAACCGTTGCAGTCTGTCAGCCCTATAATGCAAGTGAATGGGAATCACAGCTTTGAGAGTTAAAAAAACATACACAAACAAAACCAAATTAAACGATACATTGATGTGTAAAGACTCGAAACGATCGGTCTGTGCAACAAACTGAACAGTATTTATATCGTTTTTTTACCTCTGATTCACGCAATGTCCGAACTGTCCTGAGCGCGTTCGCATCTTCTTCTTCAGCCGGCGCGTGACGCGTCTTCTTCTTCTTCTTGCTTTACGGCGGATCGCAGACTTAAGTGCATTACTGCCACCTATCTCTCAAATGGACCATTGACACTCTATCTACAATCTCAATTAGGAGTGGCAATGTTCCACTTGAGAGATAGGTGGCAGTAATGCACTTATAAGTCTGCAATCCGCCGTAAAGTTTCATGATTTTAATTAACTAGACATGTTTTTTTGATGAATAAAATGTAATTTAAACATTAAAAAGGAGTCCAGAAAAATTAAAACGGAAAAAAGCAGAACCCCCCCCAAAAGCCGTAAACCTAGGGGAGACACATATGGCCCACCCCTATTCTTACCCGTGTCCAGACAGTAGTCGAAGACGGCGAAGAGCTCCAGAGCCGCGTGACGCACCTTCTTCTTGCTGTCGGCGAGCGCCGGCGCCGCTTCAGCGCACAAGCCGGGGATGTCGAAGTCCTTGCGCGGGTGTGTGAGCATGGCAGCCGTGATGATGTTGATGACGTCCTCTCGAACCCTAGAGTTCCTGTGCTTGAGCTGAGCCACCACCAGATCCAGAACCTTCTGAGGCCCCACCATCCTCATCAGCTGCCTGAAGACGCTCATGTACTCGTGCCGCGTCACGTTCCGCGAGTCGCCCAGCGCTCGCACCGTCACGCCCACGATCTCCTTATAATAGCGCTCCACATCACACTCCAGCTTCTCGATCAGCAGGTTGATGAGCTGCAGCGCGCCGTACAACACCTTGAAGTTGCTGTCGTCCAGGAGCTCGCGTAAGAACTGGATGAACTCCACGATGCTGCCGGAGGAGACCTGCTGGAGATCCAGCTCCAGGAGGAGGTTCTTCAGCTCCTCCACGCCGCTGGTCCGCTTCTGATAGTTCTGGAGGTCCAGGAGCTGCGCGTGTAACTCCTGAGGAATCAGCCCATAAATCATCATGGATGCTGCTGATCAGAGTCCAGATGGAGGCAGGGACGCACGGGAATCGGTCATGGTGATGAGGGACGGGAAGCGTCACATGATGCAGCGACAGACCTGGAATCCACAGGAAAACACTTTAGATCTAAACATGTGACCCTGCAGCACAAAAGCAGTCTTAAGCAGCACAAGTATATTTGTAGCAATAGCCAACAATACATTGTATGTGTCAAAATTATACATTTTTCTTTTATGCAAAAATCATTATGATATTAAGTAAAGATCATGTTCCATGAAGATATTTCAGCCCTAATCTCAGCCAAATATTGTTCTATCCTAACAAACCATACATCAATGGAAAGATTATTATTCAGCTTTCAGGGTCACATATGTGAGCCGTGCTGGCAAAATGAGTCGGAATGCTACATGCAAAAAAAGTCGAGTACGGTTTAATTTTAGGTTTTCACAAAAATTAGTTCATTAAGCCCTCGTCTAGCGATCCCAAAGCTCCAACTAGCAATTAACATCTATAACCTATATCTTTATTTGTAAGTTTTCTGAGAGGAGTACCTTTTCTCCGCTCGCTTCTCGCGATCACTGTCCGAAGCGCGTGCATAACGACAACACCGAGTGCGAGCGATCCCGATAAATATAGAGAATTACAGTATTTAAGTATTCACACAAACATAATTGGGTATCTGTTAAAAAAAAAAAAGTTTAAATTGTGTGAATTTTTAACTACTGTTTTAACTACTTGGTCTGTAATTAATTACTTTTTAAATAAAATGTGCAAAACACTCTGTGGTGAAAGGAGCATTGTGATAAGACGATCTTGAGGCTTACTACTGAGCAATTTGAACATTCACAACATGCAAACATCAATCAACATGTACGAAACACAACAAGAAAGCTGGATGAACTAGTGTTGTATATGATTTAGTTTGTAGATACTGCACTTTGCTTTTGCAATAGTGTTTTAGTTGTGTAAGGTCATCCAAAGGCAGAGTGCAGTATCTGCATTTTGGTGGTCAAAGGTCACATCAGTGGTCATGGTTTTTATCTATAAAAAATGTCATTGTTCACACACACACTCTCACACACACACTCACACACACACACACACACACACTCACTCTCACACACACACTCACCAGTACGTAGAGAGACATTTAAGAGGGTTTATTCTCCAAATAACTCTAATTTCATGTTGCAGAAAAATGTTTAGAAATTGTGTATGGACTCTTGTTCTTGTTCCAAGTTACCTTCCTACTGATGTTTGCCTCACAAAAGCCACAAAGCCTTCCCAGAAGACAGTGAAGGCTCATGTCATGCTTGAGCTTTAATTAGACTGAAACTTGAAAGTTAAGTTGCACGACATAAATGCAATGTTTAGGTATTATTATTTTTATTTCTATTATGTTGATTTATGCCTTAGTTTTACTTTGTACCTTTTTACCTTTTTTAAAGTAATGTGAAATTGATCTTTGTATTTTTATTTATTTTTTTATTTATATTTTTCTTTTACTGATATATTTGTATTTGCATTTTGAATGTAATTTGGCAATTAAATGCATTAAATGGGTTTAGTTTTAACTGTAATTAATGTATGCAATTTCAGCAGTAAAAATATTTATTTTTCTAAAAAGAAAACAAATTAGTTGGTACATACTGGTAAAAAATGTATAGCCTAAATGCACTGTAAGTCGCTTTGGATAAAAGCATCTGCTAAATGCATAAATTACTATTATTATTTTAAGAGACCTATCTTATTTTCTCTTGTATATCTAGTATTGCTCTTTAATAAAGAAAAACTACTTATCCGACTACTCGATTAATCGATGGAATAATCGGCAGAATACTCGATTACTAAAACAATCGATATCTTATAATTTAAGCGTTATAGACAGTGAGGTGATTCTTCAGTATTAATTAACCTCATTCATTAGCTATATCGGACGTTTGTTTTTGTGTGTTCGCGGTTTTCTAGCAAATCGACAACACGCATCGGAATTAATTAAGAATACGCTGTTTTAAAAACACCCAAGCACGATTTACACACGAAACTGACTGAAATGCCTGAAGTGTTTTGCGTGTTTTAGTGAAAATCAAACCTGTTATCGCAGATCGCTCCGACTCCGAACGACGCCCGTCCAGATTCGGTTCGATTCTCGACGCGACTCGGTCTGATTCGCCGAATCGACTCCCTCTGGTCTGAATTTGTCCGCTTCGCGTCTGAATTTCGGTGCTTTTCTGTCGGATTCTGGTCTTCTCGCTGCTTCCATCACAACACTCAGGCAAAATGGCGCTGATGTCACAACTAGCCGCTGCCATGGCGACGCGCCCCCTCACCCCACACTGGCTGGCGGGCGCGGTGCATTGTGGGAGGTGGAGTTCGTGAGAGCAACGGACACATTTGCATGTGAACACAGACAGAGACAGCAATGCTTTTTTTTTTTTATAAACATTTGTTGACTTTAAATATTTACACAGTAGTTTTAGAGTTATTCTGGTGCAAAACTAACATAGTGCGTGGAAAAACAAACAAACAAAGTTCTTTCTTTCAGAAAAAGTCTTGTTATTTCGGCTTTATCAAGAGTACAAATAAAACAGGTAATTAAAAACAAAGATCCAAAGGCTTAATATTTTGATAATAATTATTTTTCACCACTAGCAAATGTGCATAATAATGTAATCATTGTATTTATTATTATTATTATTATTATTATTATATAATTTAATACACACATATTCAGGGATGCGCAGTATTTATGACACAAGTATTTAAAATAAGTATTTTAAATATAAATTAAAAATAGGAAAATAGTTACAGACAGATTCAGTTTTTAAGCAATTTTTAAATCGCAGTCGTTTATTTAAAAGCACGGTGGCGTCAGAGACTTTTATTTCCCGGAAGTGACGCAAGCGCTGATTTGTGTTTGTTTTCCTGACAGCCGCGGCCGTGTTGCGCTTCAAACTGCCAGAAATCTGCCAGACACACAGGTAAACGCTTGATAAACGCTTTATTTCTGCACTTTACCTCACTAAATTAACGCCTGACCGAGTGTAAATGCGCGGTAAGTGCGCGTTTGTCCTGAGCTGAGCTCTGATGCTAATATGTTAGCTGGGAACCAGCAGCTTTATTTATTCATATCAGCTGTTTGATGAAGATGATTGCGGTGTTTGAAGAAGCCTGTGATCTCTGATGCTGTCACTCAGCACTGCTGCTCGTGGATGTGTGTCAAACCTAGCGAGCTGGCGATGCTGTCTACAGAGGGAGCGTTAGTGTGTGTGTTGTCTAGACAGCAGCTGTTCGAGCACACACGCGTGCAGCAGCAGTTATGAGCCTCTGCTGTCTAGGTAGGTGTCGAGGATGCTATTTGAGAGGCAGTAGTATGTAGGGAGCACAGAAATACAGTATGATTTGACCAAACTCCTCGATCCGAGCTGATGATTCATGCCAGACAATTACAGTAACAAAGCATTAGATGAAGAACAAGCAATGATAAGAAAAATGGGGAATATTGCAACAGTAACATAATATTAAAATAAGGCAGGTAATGAAAAATGAGATGACATACAGTAACAAATAACAGTACAATAGTATTAAAAATAAGACGAAAATAGTCAAATAAATTATATGTGACCCTGGAGCACAAAAACAGTCATAAGGGTCAATTTTATGAAATTGAGGTTTATGCATTATCTGAAAGCTGAATAAATAATCTTTCCATTGATGTATGGTTTGTTAGCATAGGCCAATATTTGGAAATCTGGAATCTGAGGGTGCAAAAAAATCTAAATATTGAGAAAATCATCTTTAAAGTTGTCCAAATGAAGTTCTTAGCAATGCATACTATTAATCAAAAATTAAGTTTTGATATATTTACGGTAGGAACCTTACAAAATATCTTCATGGAACATGATCTTTACTTAATATCCTAATGATTTTTGGCATAAAAGAGAAATGTATAATTCTGACCCATACAATGTATTGTTGGCTATTGCTACAAATATACCCCAGCGACTTAACACTGCTTTTGTGCTGCAGGGCCACAGATGTAAATGTCAATCCAAAATTGACCTGAGACTCGAACCTGCGACTTTCGGGTTACAAGTCCGACTCTCTATCCATTAGGCCACGACCGCCCCAAATATATATATACATATAAATAAACTCATTGTCACTTTTTAATCTGTTTATTCTGTGTCAGAAACAGGCTTCCAGTGTTTTCTGAGGGTGTGCAGGTGAAACATGATCATTTTGGGTAATTGCATTTGCATTTATTTCTGTATTTGTGAACTGTAAGACTGTGGCAGCGCTCTGAGAGATTGCTGAAGTGTTTCTCAGAGCTCCTGACTGCTGCTGATCTTCTGGGAGTTTAATGTCCCTCATGAGGAACGCTCTCCTGAGTCTCTGATTCTGTGCTTCATCCTCAAACCCCAGTGAGCTGCTGTTACACTGGCTCTCATTAGATCCCGTTACTCTTCGAGGGAAACATTATTAAACATGTTCCAAACTCAGGTTCGGTGGCGTCATAAACACCCACTGTACAGTCAAACCAACATATATTCAGACACCTTCAACATTTCTCACATTATATCACAGTTTATTCACTATAGTTTAGAAAACGGTAATAAAATATGAGAAGAACTCAGTTAAACTGTGTCAGAACAAATTAATCTTGATAATGTCAGATAAGTTTGATAGAAAGCTATGTAATGCATTCGGTTGAATAGCTGTCAGCTGTTAAATTAAACACGCAATTAGATAAAACCAATTTAGCTCAACTAATTACCAAGCAATGCTTCATTTTGTTCAGTCTGTGGTGTAAAAAGATTGCATTAGTAATTAAAGAAAAACACTTCAGCAAAACATGCTCAGCTCAAAGTGTCTGAACAATTTTTGCTCCCAAATTTTACTGTTTGAAGAGTTTTTAGGTATAATAGTTCACAGTTTACTTTATTTTGCTATCATCACTTACATAAATGATCTATAGTGTCCTGCACCCACTAGTAACAAAATATCAAAAATTATATCTGGTGTCTGAATAATTTTGGGTTTAACTGTATTTATGAATGTAATGTATTTAGCTTATTTATTCAGCTTCAGATGATGTATAAATCTCAATTTCCAAAAAAGGACTCCTATGACTGGTTTTGGGTCACATATAAAGCGTGTGTGTTGTCTGTGTGTCTGTCAGATGGAGCAGCAGGCCAAGCCGTACATGTTTGCGAGCCTGACGCGTCCTCACTCCGAGCAGCTCCTGCAGGGTCTGCAGCTCCTGCGGCAGGATCACGAGCTCTGCGACATCGTGCTGCGGGTCGGAGACGCCAAGATCCACGCGCACAAAGTGGTGCTGGCCAGCATCAGCCCGTACTTCAAGGCCATGTTCACCGGAAACCTGTCCGAGAAAGAGACGTCCGAGGTGGAGTTCCAGTGCGTCGATGAAGCCGCTCTCAAGGTACATCCATCTCTAACATCCAAACACACCAGAACGGCATGCAGGACAATCAGCCGCTTTCAAATCATATCTCTTCTGGACCAATCCCTATATGTTCAGGTCATATTTGCCACATTTCATTGGCATGGTCAGAAACAGGCGTGGGTCGATACACAGCAAACAGATATAGATGAGGCAAGACAAAGTAATCCCATACACACAGGCGAGAATCAAAGTACCGGAAAACAGGCAAGGCAAAACTAGACTAAAACTAGGACTTGGAAACAAACAATGGCTAACGAAATGGCTCCGTAGAGTTGCTGCGCTAAGACAGCGATAATGCTAACAATACTCGGCGATCAGAAAGAGGAAGTCCATGGCATATAAAGTGTGTTTGATTGGTTGCAGCTGTGTGTGTAATCGGTGCAGTGGATGATGGGAAATGTAGTCCGGGGTGACATGCAACAGTTTGTGTAGTGTGAGAGTCAATGTAACTGGAAGGTAACATCTGGTGGTGAGCAGAATATTTTAACACAGTTAATGCACTGGCTCCGCCCCCAGACCTGTACATCATCTTACATTTTATACAGTTGACAGTTATGCCGTAAAATTCAAGATATTGGTGCAAAAAATGCCCCTGTATGAGTTTCTGCCTCATATTTATATCATACGATAAGCGATATCACACGAGCAGCGAGAGCAGTATTATACGAGTGCTGATTCTGTCCCAAATATCACGAGTTTAAATGTGATTTTATATAACAGTTCAGTAAATAAGAAGTTGATATTGTTATATTTTAAACACAATATTATGTGTTTTTGCTCAATTTTGCAGAGAACATTAAAGCCACAGCAGAATTGTTGCGTGTCTCTGAGCTTCTGAATGAATCCGCGTTTTAAACGAATCGTGTGAATCAATTATTCAAAGACTCATTCATTAAGAGAGTCGTTTACTTCATTCTTGAATGAATCAGCCGTTTGAACGAATCGAATGAATGAATGACTCAAAGACATTTACCGCCACCTGCTGGCAGATTTAGTTTCTTATTTAGAGTATCATTTCATTAAAACAAATATAATAATAATAAAAATATTAAAGGGATAGTTTACCCAAAAAATTAAAATTAAAGTTTCAAAACTTTCTTTGTGGAATATAAAAGAAGGTATTTTGAAGACTGTTTTGGTTACCAATGACTTTCATTATATGAACAAAAACTACTCTTATCTTCTTTTATGTTCCAGAGTTTATGTTAGGCCGTTGCAGCCTTAATGTTTGTGTAATACATTTTATGTTGAATCAAATAAAATATTTCTTAAAGCTACAATTTGTAACGTCTACTTGACACTTTCTCATTTAACACAAAAATAGCTTTAAATAATCTTCTGTGGGTATTTTCACAAACAAATTTATTTTGCGATTAATGTCGTTCATCATGTTGGTAATTAGATGAAAAATTTTAATCTACTGACAGCCCTAATATTTGTGACCCTGCAGCACAAAAGCAGTGTTAAGTCGCTGGGGAATATTTGTAGCAATAGACAACAATCCATCTAACTGATGTAACGTGTTGTGAGTTAAGTGCTCTGTTTCCGTCTCTTGTCAGGCTATAGTGGAGTACGCCTACACAGGAACCGTCTTCATCTCACAGGAAACAGTGGAGACTCTACTTCCTGCCGCCAACCTGCTGCAGGTCAAGCTGGTTCTGAAGGAGTGCTGCAGCTTCCTGGAGAGTCAGCTGGACGCGGGGAACTGCATCGGCATCTCGCGCTTCGCCGAGACCTACGGCTGCCACGAGCTGTGTTTATCCACCTCCAAATTCATCTGCCAGCACTTCGAGGAGGTGTGCCAGACGGAGGA